CTGTCGTAACCTACCTCTTGAGTTGTGGCTTTTGGGTGTCATTACCGAGAAAGCAAAACTAAAAATGGAATCTATAAGCGTGCCATCCAGCGATTAGCACCATTACCAATTAATTGAAGCCCTTTGACCTTCAACGCTGCCGATGTTTAGTCATAATTTGGATAAACAACTAAAAAACTTAAAATAATTTCTTAAATCTAACAACGTTGACCACTTAGCCATAAGAAGGGGCATAGAGCAAGCAAATAAAACAACTCCCAACGGGTCCATGTTGCACAAAAACGCAAAAGTAAAAGAATTGCGTGTAAATGCAAAAGCGTGAGAGCGCGAGAGAAAATTATTTCTATCGACTGAACGTGGGTTGTAAAACACAAACCACTTTTTACGTACACAGTTAAATAAGGCGCAAGAAGTAGAGCGGGGTGGAGAGAATAATATATTACGAAGAGTTACTCGTGCAATGTTAGAGCATTGGCAAAGCATGTACAAGAGAATGACATTACAACTACAGGGATTAGAAAATTTAAAATAAAATTATCAAAACTCTAATAGTGAGTACAGATTTATATGAAAAGCCTAGAGCCTAAAGCAGTTAGGATAAGCTTGGTTAAGAGAAATTTATCAAAACTTGCAAAAATCGCAGAGCACAAGATAAACACAACCGATTACAAGCGACGCTAAAGAGAATGGAATGGAATGCCACTAATGCCCTGAATCAGAATTAGTTTTTGTTTACTTATTGAGTCACTGTGTTCAATCGACATTATTACAAAATCATTTAATCTACACAAAGCAAATGATAGCATATATTTTGACTTGAAAAGAATACAATATATTTGGAACGGCAAAAGTCCTAAAACTGATACCTCCTTTGGAGAGCTGCTCAAAGTTGGAAGTTTGAGGTCAAACTTAGTAAAGCGTATCAAAAGTTGAACATTTTTATAAGCTTCGAGCACAAAATATCGTGCCGTGCTAAAATCTAGTAGGGTCAATACGGGTAATTTTCCTTCCTCAATGCTTCCTCGTGTTTTCCCGACTATGTTCGTTAATGCTGTTACGCAGCTTCTATTTTTTCATTTTTCAACAGACGATCATTGATCTCTACAAATCTGACAATAGCTTGGTCATTGGGCAGGAAGTAATATTGATATTGGCCTTAAGTCACCCTTTGCCTTACCAACGGAAGTGGCCAGCACGCTATTTATGACTAAAGTAACATATGGCAATATCTGTGGCAATATCTGTGGCAAAATAATTTGATATGTCTTGCTCAAATTTTTGGCTTAACTCGTTGATGTCTGGACCAATTTTCAATAATGGTTTTTGTTTTGCAACAGCTAGTCTTTTGAGATCTTTCCATGTTTGATGCGAATTAACTGCGTTGTTGAATTTTGCGTGAAAATATTTACATTTACTTGAGTAAATTATTTTCGTCACTATTTTCGGTAGGGACTAAAATTCCTCATATAAATGGTTTTCTTTATACCTTTTATACAAACCAAAAAAATGGATACATAAGTTGTTTGCGTATTTAGTCCCACGCAAAGAAAATTTAAAAAAGTTTCAAAACTAAAGCACTGCTTAAAAGTTTTTTTTTTTGGTTTGGTGCCAAAATATACACCATATATATAAAAATAATCATATATATGGCACTCACCCTGAGAATTAAATAATAATGCAAGACCAAAATTTGTCAGTTCGAGAACAAATTGTCCAGAACCAAAAAACTCAAATTTAGTACCCAAGTAATATTGTTTAGAGATTGTAGGCCGGACAAAACAAATTGGCCAAAAAAGTAATTCTTTTTTTTCTGCGAATTTGTCGAATTTTTAGCTAATTGTTTGAGGTATTTTTTACAAATAATAAACAGCTAGATAGGCATTAATAAAATACAAAAAAAAAACACAAAAAAAAAACAAATCACACAACTAGAAGTAAGCTCGGGACCTCAAGACCTTGGGATTTGGCTTCCTGTTCCGGAGACCTAGACGGCTAGACCACGTATTTTGAGTACATTTTTCTTAAAATGAGTACGTTTTTCTCAAATTCGAAATATATCCTTACCTTTAGAATTTTTTCTATACCATCGTGTAACCCACGAAAAAATAGTCAACTTTAGAAATTTTTGCTTAGAGAAAATACTGAAAAGAGTTTTTTGATTTTTATTCACTTAATAAAGTAAGTTTTCAACTTTATTTCAAAATGTATGTATGTCTTAAAAAAAATATTCAGAAAGAGTGGTTGAAATCGAATAACTCAAAAAGATAATGAAAGCTAAATAAATGTCCCCTACAAAGACGAAACGGCGTTGGTTTAAACAAAATATTCACTTTTGGTGTTAAAAAAAGAGTTTTTTAATTTTGCCAAATGGACAGTTTAAATGCACAAATATTAATTCATTTCACCTGTTTCTGAAACAACGAATCAAAACAAAACGTGCAATAGATAAAATATGTTATAAGAAAATGCAAAATTTACTTATATTAGTTAAATTCAATCGAAACATTTATAGAGTTAACATTTTTGTCTGCGATTGACCTTTCTAGAGAATTACCCATATGTCTTTACTTCGCGCAACATAGCTACTTGAAAGTTGGGTAGGTTTTGACTGGCACCCAATCGAGACGATGGGCCGACCGAACATTTTCCAACACCAACGACGAGGAAGTTTTCTCTTTGCTTTTTCCGGATGCCAAGGCAATAATAAAATTGTGGTAATTCAAAGCAAAAAGTCCGTGGTCAAGAAGGAAACAATTTCCAAGGACTAGCAGTGAACAACAAGTTCGATCGATCTTTCAGGGTGTGCAGCTCAAAAGTGAGCAACTGACATTCAATATTTTATTTCTTTAAAAATCTGAACTTTCCGGATCGGACGACTATACAGAGGTGGTCAAAAGTATTTACTCAACAAACAATTATTTAAACTAAATATTAGTAGTAGAATTGCCAAGATTTTTTGTAAATTTAATATTTACATTTAAAAAAGTTGAACCCATTGTATAACAAGAAAGAAAGCAAACTTTGGCAAACCGAAGTTCATATACCCTTGCAGCTATTGCAAGAATTAAATATTTTTGAAAACAGTAAAATTATGATTAACTTTAAAACATTGAAGCTATTATGATTTGCAGCTGCAAACTGAAATTATAATAACCTCTGCAAGGGTATAAAAATTGATATGTAAATACTTTTGACGAGAAAAAAACATGTATAAACACTTCTGACAACTCATTAGCCTATTTTCATGTGCTTTGAGGTCTTGAGTTTGTTTTGGGTTTTCTTCTGCATAGATCAAGTTGTGCATCAACAATTTTTTTGAAATTAGCTATTTACGACAACTATTAAATCCAAAATTTGTTGTATGTGATAAATGTGTGTTCGTTGTGTAAATACTCTTTTGTCAAACAAACTTTACGTTTTTCGCGTTAATTGCATTGGATTCATCGTTAGCCGTTTTATTCAGAAGGCATTTTGTTGTTAGATGCCAGAAATCACTTCTTGTCTCTGTTGCTGGCGGAATGATTTTTGTTTTTATATATTTTATATATATCGCAGCGATACAGAACGTTGTGTACTTCGGGTTCGAGAAGACCAATTTTCGGATACATGACACGGACAAAATGGCGGCCAACAACCTGGCAGCGACGAGCGAAGATGAAGCTGAGCAGGATGAGGAGACAATTAACACAGGCAATGTGTGAACCAACACATAACTTGTGAAGTCTTTCAAATATCTGCACTCACTAGCCGTCACCCAGAGCAGACTGTCAGACGTACCAGAGAAGATGGAGGCCAACCAGCATAGCACAATCACCTCACTTGATGCAGGTCCTGCAAATAAACTTGCAACACTCAAAAGCCAGTGGACCTGCAGACAGGCGCAATAGACGAAATCCTCATTAAAGTTCTATAAATAGTGGGTATCAAAATCGGTGGACTTACAACCCCCAGATATCACATTTTCTACAACAGTACTAAGGACAAGCCTAGAAGCTGCATCGTTATTAAGTCATACCTTAACGCCTTTTCCTCAGTTAAGCAACGGTGACTACACAACGGTTAGACTAGAGCTAGAGACTAGAGCTTTTTATCTACATCGACAAAGGAACTCATTATAGGAGGTGACGCAAACGCACATCACATTCAATGGGGAAGTAAAAACACACATGAAAGGGGTGAGTTACTATTTAATTACCTCTTTCAGTAAAATTTATATATCTACAACAAAGATAATGACCTAACCTTCATCACCAAGAATAGAAGGGAAGTTCTGGACATTACCCTTTCCTCTGAGACACTGATTGACCAAATCGGAGCCTGGAGGGTCGGGGATGACCACTCCTTCTCCGACCACCGATCCATAAAACTCACCATAGACTAGCATGTCCAAACCCTGCGAAAATGAACAACTGGGGATACAACACAAAAACTCTAGCCTTATACCCTTATACAAAAAATAAATTAGAATGGCCAAACGGAGGGAGTAGACCCGATTCTATCGAAGTCTCCTACCAAAATTGGATACCTTAAAAAAACCGACAAATCAGACAAGACACCCTCTAACCCCCCGGAGACAACAACCTTCAGTAACTCGAACCTGCTCGACGAGCACGTTATCTTGATATAAGCAAGTTCAGGCCCTTTTAGTCCCAGCACAACTGCAAAGGAAACAAACACATACCTGGCTCGAAGTCAAAGTAATCTTCATCTCAAAACCTGGGAAGCCATCACATACATCTTCTAATGATTTTAGACCGATAGGTCTATCCTCGTTCCTACTAAAAACCCTGGAAAGGCTAATAGACACCCACACTTCTACAGTAAATTAGAACCATTTCTCCGAAAAGACAAAAATCTTTTTTTAGACATAGAAGGGGATTTCAACACAAGCAATCAACCGAGCACTGACTAGTCTTGAAGTTGAACCCCCTTAATGAGATCAACTATGGGATCGGCTAACGCTAGGAAGAAGTGCCCTCCCCTCTAGTCAACCAACTACTACAACTCCTAAAAAGAGGAGGAGTTAATGTGCGGACGACGAAGTAGTTCTGATTCAAGGTAAATTCCCAGAAACACTTTGCAGCCTTATGGAAACAACCCTGTCAACACTATGCGGGTGGGCACTGGGGTATGAACTAGGACCTAAGTATAACCACTAACCATACAACATATAGACTGGTCATTTCATACGACGCATTTGGACACAAAAAAACGGACCGCGGAAGGTCCACCGCTCTCACAGCAGCAGGTCCATGCACTTCGTGTGCGTTCGGGTTTTTTATGTTGTATGGTTAGTGGTATAACGGAATTGGTACTATTCGCCTAGCCTTTAGCGAAAAAATCCAAACACCTCGGCCTAATACTGGACAGGAAACTTTTCGGGACTTTGCTGTTTTAGAATAGTTTAGTTTTTCAATATGTAGTAATGGTTTATTTTTTTATAATTGCGGTTTAAATTTGTTTAAAATTGGACGACTATATCATATAGCTCCCATTAGAAAAATCGGAAAAAATAATTTAAAAATAAATGGTATTGTTTTTTTTTTTAAATTCTTTTGAATTTAGTATTGGGTTAATAATTCAGAATTAGGCTTTTCATTTTATTAAATTCGGAAAACGATCGAATAATTTAGTCAGAAATATAATCGAATTAATGTTTTATAAGCATATATAATTCGAAATGGGTAAATGAATATTTAATTTTTATAATAGCTATAATATAACCCGCACTATAGGTAGTTTGGAAGAAATAAATCAGAGATTCCAGAATCAGTAGACGCCTCAGTTCAGTTTGATCGTACTGATGAAGGCAAGACGGAGTTTTTTCGCTTGACATATACAAGGCTAAAAAATTGTTTTGAATTATTTGAGAATAGCTCCTAGTGATGCTGATCAAGAATATATACTTTATGGGGTCGGAGATGTCTCCTTCACTGTGTGGCAAACTTTTGACTGAAATTATAATACCCTCTGCAAGGGTATAAAAAGCTACTGAAACGCGCAATTTTGTTTATGTACTTGTTATGTTTCCTTACAGTTAGTAATGTTATTGAAAAACGATTAAAAAAACATCAAAGAACACGCTTAACCTCTGGAATCCGCCACTCACCACGATTTTTGAATGATATGTCTTATCTATGAGTTGTCTAATCTTTGGTAATATTCGTTTATTATTTCAGGTTTTTTTTTAATTCAGAAACGGATATTTTAATAGGAACCTATTAACCTTTGGTTTGTCGGGTTGTATTTACTTTCACACAAGTTATAATAACAGGTAGTAGTGTACAAAAAAAAGTCACAAAAAAAATGGATAGTGTGGCTGTCTTTGTTTCTCCCACTATGGGGTCGACCAAGTAACCAGTTGTCAGATGGATGTTGTTTTTAAGACGTCTTATGCCCATAGGTCTGGCTAGTGTCAGGGCCTGTCAATTTGTATGTGAAAGTCTTGCTCTGTAACTGGAGGCTGTGTTAGTGATAAATGTACACATAGGATTAATTTTAAGATCTCGAAAAATAAAAGTGTTTCGTGTGTAGTATGGGGCGCTTACCATGTCTTAAAATTTTAACTTGGCAAGACTCAAGTTTTATAAGACCGATATCGCCTTTTATCGACCTATTCACTAAACTGCTGCTTAGGGAAAACCCTGTATAAAATAATAGCACAGTCATGCAGGAGACAGTGGAAGTGGAGATCCACGACCTGGGTGAGATGACCAGCGGCGAAGAGGTCCTGCAAGCCCTATACGCAGAAGAGGACGGCGACAAGATCAGGATTGGTTGAGTCGTCTGCCGCAAAAAAGGCAGAATGGTTAAGTTTCTTCAGCTTAACCTGAACCATTACAAAGCGGCTCAGGATCTGCCTTCGCAGACGGTGATCGACAAGCGGGTAGGGATAGCAATCCTCAGCGAACCATACTAGGCAAAACCAGAAGGTGTCTGGCAACAGAGCGCTGATACTGGCGCCACAGCCATGTGGAGCTGTGGAGAGCCCCTGGAACACATGACGCAAATGGAATCCTGGACAGGCTACGCCAGGGCGAAAATCCAGAGTGTAACCATATAAAGATGCTAAATACATAGCCCCGATCGTACATGAAGACGTCTTCAGGGACACATAGCACGAGAACGTCCAGGACTTGTGTGGAAGATAGCCTGTTTTAATTGCAGGGGATTTTAACGCATGGTCTGGTGCATGGGGCAGCGAAAAAACGACGCAGTGAGGAACCATCGTCCTGGATGCCTGGCTGCGCTGGATGTCGGCCTGCAAAAAAAGAAGGGAATAGGTGCTCGTTTAGCAAGGCTGATCGGGAGCTAATTGTTGACCTGACCTTCGCTATCACTCAGCTGTCCAGAGTATCGGCGGTCATCACCGAGACAGGGAACAGCTCCCCCGCTCCAAATAGCCGGCAAACGTTCCACAGAGCTCACACCTTGAACGGACGATACCAGCACCAATGGCGACGAGAGGGTAGCGGCCATGGTTAAATAAGCCTGCGATGCAGCGATTGAAACGACCTCGCGAGGAGGAAATGCAAGGCGACCGGTCCCACGGTGGAACCGGTTTTCGGCGGACTCCATCTGTCCCAGATGAAATTCCCAAAACTGCCCTGCATGTCATCGTTGCATCCCGCGTTTTCCCCCGGGCTGAAAGCGGCAATGACTCGTGCTTATACCGAAACCAAAGAAGCAAAACGACCCTTCATACAGACACCTTTGTTTGCTCAATGCAAACCAGAAAATCTTTGAACGCATCGTCATCAACCACCTGGAGAAGGAGTTCGAAAAACATGAAGCACTGTTTGACCACCAGCGAAAAAGAAAGAGATATTCTATATTTAGAATTCGTTTATAGGCTTTACACAATACATTCGCAAACGTTTTCCATGTGTGAGTTTGTGCGCTTCCAACTTTTTCGTCAAATTACAGCTTGGTCAGCGCTTTAAACCCGCTGAGACAACACAAAAACCATTAAGTATCCTCTAAAAAAATTCTTCGACAAATAACAATGGTTTGAAATATCAGAATTACGGTTTTATTTTGTTAATATCGGCAGACTATAGCATATAGCTCCCATGAAAACAAAATAAGAAGAAACAAATTTTTTAAAATTTGTAATTTTTCTATTTATGATTTTAGGAACGACCGAACAATTAAGCTTAGAATCATCATAACGCAAATAAATAAAAATTTAGATTCTGTAAATAATATTTAAGGGTATAAAACAGAGAGCTGATGCTGGCGCAGCCATATGGAGCTGTGGACACATGGAGTCCTCGAGCTGACCACAAGGTCGGCGGTCATCACCGAGACGGGGAACAGCTTCAACTCCAAATAGCCGGCAAACGTCCTACAGAGCTCACACCTTGAACGTCAATGTGATTGTATCCCGTATACGATTACAGCACAATCGGAGACGGAAATACCTGTGCCGAGAGGGTAGCGTCCATGGTTACTGCAGCCATCTCAAGAATGATGGCCAACACGAGAGGTCCACTGGTTAATTCCCAGCAAAGCTCCTTGGCTAAATAAAAAATACGGACAGGAGGATTTCTAGACCGCGCAGATGATTTCCGGACATGGTTGCTCTTACTCTCCTTTTTTTCATCATACCTTCATCTATTTTTGCCACCATTTATTTGTCGTGGCATATACTTAAGCTTCATTTAAATAAAATAATAAAAAAAATATACATTACAAAGCGCCCGAAGGAGCTCGTGGAGGGCAAATCTGAAACTACAAATTGGCAAGTGAATATGTTCGAGTAAATCTAGAAGGAACAGCGATGTCAATATAGCTTAGGAGAAGGGAAGAGTTCACCTTACCTATAAGAATCTTATGCAAAAAACTGACTCCGCTTCACATTTTATGATGTTTTATGGACTAAATATCATTTAATTTTAATCTTGATGAATAAGGTGGAATATGCCTCACCCAATTCCAATAATTAAAAGTGCTTTTAAAATGGGTTCAAAATTTTTTTTAGGTGATCAATATATTAAGGCTTATTTTACAAAATAGAGCGAATATATAAATTTACAAATTTTTTTTTGTGTACGGATTGTCAAACTTCTTGGAAGAACACCTATACTATTTACTGGGGTAGCACGTTCGAAAGTGTAGTTTTCAAGTCTGTTAAAGTATATGTGAGCTGAAGACCGATAAAATGACATCGATTTGCATTTTGCATGGCTTAAAAACAGAAAGTTGTTAGAAAACCATAATTGTAATTGATCTAAGTCAGATTGAAGCGAAGGTGTAAGATTTGGTCAGAGAATGATAAGCAAATTTTTAGATTCGGAAAACATCACTTTAAGAAGATCCTTAATGCAAACAACGAAAAGTAGAGAACCCAGATTGCTTCCTTGGGGGACACCAGAAAAAACATTTACGATGGAGGAAAGTTGTTTATTGAAGAGAATGCGTTGAGTTCTGTTTAGTTCTTCGCCATATAGTAATGGTAAAATATTTCAGAGTTATGGTTTAAATTTTATCAAAATCGGACGTCTATATCAGATAGCTCCCATAGAAATAATAAAAATATATATAAAATAACTATTAAATAACTGAGCTGCAAATCATCATAGCTTCAATGTTTTTAGACATATACGCAAGTAAATCATAATTTTAATGTTTTAAAAAATATTTAATTTTTGCAATAGCTGCAAGGGTATATGAACTTCGGCTTGCCGAAGTTTGCTTCCTTTCTTGTTTTTCATTTTTTTCCGATTGTTCCTATGGGAGCTATATGATATAATCGTCCGATTTTGATGAAATTTAAAACGTAATTCTGAAATAGTTAACCATTACTATATGTCAAAAAACCTTTCTACCTGCAGTAGAAAGACAACTTTTGGGAAAGTTTCATGCAGATAGCTTTAAAACTGAGAGACTAGTTTGCGTAGAAACGGACGGACAGACGGACGGACAGACGGACATGGCTAGATCGACTCGCCTAGTGAAGCTGATCAAGAATAAATATACTTTATAGGGTCGGAGATGTCTCCTTCACTGCGTTGCAAACTTCTGACTGAAATTATAAAACCCTCTGCAAGGGTATAAAAAGAAAATAAGTATTCTTGACTCAGATTTTAAGCCAAAAGTCCGAGAGCAACCGATTGCATTGTTCGTATAAAAGACCTTTTGCGTTGACTTTTTCAGTCAATCGGTTTTTTAGTAAATCTCTCTGTTCGAGCATCACTTGTTTCTCTCATCGTGCGAGGTTCGGTAAGAGATCGACTCACGAACCGCTCAACGCACAGTGGTCGGTTCCATAGGCCATAAATAATATAATCAAAGTCAAAATTTATTTTTTAAATGTACCAATTCTTATTTATAATTGGTCTTGCTACTTGAATTTATTCATCTGTTTGTTTTGCTCTATCTGTCCTCTTCAAGAATAGCATTGAAAGCATGATTTTCATTGGGTATTTCAGCGTAAGCAACGTGCAAGGAAAGCGCTCCTTAAAAAATTTTTTTAAGCTTATTAAAAACAAGTTTCAGTGCAATGAAAGTGCTCAGTATTATAAATAAAGGTATTAACTTCCATTTAACAACAAAAAGTACATGTAGTATGTGTTGTGTTTTATGTAAATCAATATAGTACATAATTGTGATCTTTCTTGGTTTGTCTTTTTTGTGTTTGGTTAGAGATTTCGTTGTGATGGCATTCTTTGTGACAAACAAATCTTTATGTATAATATTCTTAAGCATTTTAAGAACATAAGAATGTTTAATTCAAGTGCCGAAAGTTGCCGAATTATACAAAAAGGTAACCTTGTTGTAGTTTGTTGCCGTTTGTTGGTTTGTATTGTCGTTTGTTGTTATTTTTGTGTTATGTTTTGTGTTTATATTCTTTTCTTTAAAATAATAGCTTATTATTTCCTTAGGAGTGCCAATTTTCACGTTTGCGTTCTGTTCTGTGACGTATCAATGAAAGATATATGATATAGTTGTCCGATTTTAATAATATTAAAACCGAAACTCGGGAATATTAAACTATTGCTAAATCTTAAATAAATCTTAAAATGTAAAAATCAAAAAAGTTATAATTTTTTTTCCCATTTTTTACCGATTGTTCCTATAAAAGCTATGGGATATAGTGTACGATCTGAACTTTAAAATTGACCTTAGAATTTGTTCACATATTAGTATCTTTTTTTATTCCAGGTGGAGGTAATGGCAATCCATAACAGTGACATATACCTGCTCTCAGATAGACAAGCAGCACTTAAGGCCCTTGACTCCTTCAAAACCACCTCAGCAACCATAACTGAGTGCCGAAAACCTCTTAACGAAATGGCCAACCATCTCAGAATCCACCTTATATGAGTGCCTGGTCACCGCGACATTGTAGGCAATTGCGTAGCTGACGAGCTGGCTAGACAAGGGACGATCGCCGATATTCTTCCCGAGAAGGCCACGGTGGGCATGCCCATTACCACTTGTAAGCTGATATTGAAACAAACCCTTACCAGTCTTTTTGATAGCAGATGGCACTCAATCTTACTTGGCCCACACGTAACTCCAAAAGAACATGGGCACTCATACAGTGCACCTTATCGGCGCACTTACAGGACACTGCCTCATAGGCAATCGTGCGCGAAGGTTAAGAGTCCAACACCATGACTTCTGCCGTAGTTGCAAGCAGATAGACAAGGAGGAAACCATACACCACCTCCTGTGTCTGTGTCCTACACACACCCAAAAAAGATTCCTACACCTAGGAAGCTATACCTTGCCCAACCTTAAAGCTATACCGCACATCAAACTGGCCGATCATTCACGATTCTTGCATCATACCAGATGGTTCGAGAAGACAACCCTGTAACGAGGTTAGGGACTGACCTCAGAGATTATATAGCATCCCAAAGGGCCTTTGCGGCCATACCTAACCTAACCTAACCTAAAGTATCTCTTAATTGTATTTTGAGACTTAGTGTTATTAAAAATATTTATTCAATTTTTTTTAATTCTTATAGTACATAATCCTTTAAATGCAGCAAATGGCAGAATAAAAGTGGTATACGACTTCCGATTGCATGGAGTTTCCTTTAAGGAGGGTGAAAACTTAACAACACTGTTTAATTAGTTATGTTTTTCACTGACACTTACTCCGCCGCCGAGAATTTGCCGAATGCGAAAACCGCAAAGCTCGTCCGTAGACCCGGCTATAAAAATTACATGTATTACACTGCAATCAATCACGGTTTTATCGGCGAGCGAAAAAACAACAATTACAATTGAAGATGATGGGTTTTGACTGGAGCGCTACGGTCTACGTAAGTGAGCAGCTCTTGAAAGAACAATATCTAATCTTCAAAGAAGCAATGCGCCTGAAAAACCTAAAAACGATTGGTGGCGTATTTACTCGCGGAGGTTTAGTTCACGTGCGCTGCACTGGAGGAGAGCTTTCGATTTGAGCAGACGGATGAACTTACAGCGCTCACTCAAAAAAACGAAGTCAGGTTTCACAACTCTCCCCCTCTCTCTTCCAAAACTAGGCTTCGCTCAAATTATTTCCTTATTATATAGTTCGTTTATAGATTCCAAGTTTTTTTTAGTTTTTCATATAAAGGGAATTCTTTTGCCACAGATTTCGGCATACTCCCTTTGCCACCGTGTGACGATTTCAATAAATTTTTTCCCAGATTGGTAGAACTGTTGTTTATATTCCCGCCAATTTTCAGCGTCATCGATTGACATTTGTCAAAGTTACGTTGTGTTGTTTACATTAACCTTTGAGCGTGTCTTCGATTTTTTGATTTTAAAAAATGGATAGAAAACAAGAGCAACGAATTTGCATTAAATTTCGTGTTAAAAATGAAATTAGTGTTTTAACTACTTTGGAAATGTTGGAAACCGAAATGGTGACAATGCTTTGAAACTAACAACAGTTTGCGAGTGGCATGGACGGTTCAAAAGTGGCCAAATTCCTTCAACGATGATGACCGTTCTGGCAGGCCATTCACTTCGAAAACGGACGAAAACATCGGCAAAATCAAAGACTGGATGGCCATAAACCGCAAATTGACTATTAGAGAGATGGCAGAGGAGTTGGACATTGCTTTTGGAACCGTTCAAGATATTTTTGTTAATGATTTGGGTTTCAGACGCGTCGCTGCAAAGTTGGTGCCAAAAGAACTGTATTTCATACAAAAAATGGATCGCGTTATCCGTGACCATTTGGCTAAAAACAGCACCAATACCATCCAACAACACCGAATTCACCAGATTCTAACGCGACCTACTAAAATTAAATCGGACTTATACAACGCGAGATACAGAGTACTTAAATAGTGTTCAAATAATGGATTACTCTTTACTAGACCTTATATAAGGAAGGAAAAATAATCTTTTTCACATTTCTAAATTTTAGCAAAACTTTGATACTGTGAGCTACGATATTTTGTGTTCATATTTATAAAAATGTTCAATTTTCTTATAACATCAGAAAAGTTGTTACGTTCTATTTTGTTTTCAGACGTTAGGACATAGTTACACACTCTCCAACTTTGAGCAGCTCTCCAGAGGAGTTCCACAGGGATTACTTGTAGGACCACTGATAATCTATATGTATGATAATGAGATTCCAAATATAGTGTCTTCTTGTAAAGTCAAAATGTATGCTGATGACGTAAAAATGTGTGTATCACGTCCTTTGTGTAGATTAAATGAATGCGTAGTAATGTCGAATGCAGAATTGTCTGTCATAAACAAATGCTCGAAACTGAATGGGCTACAAATAAATCCAATAAAGTTAAATTGTCTTGCGACTTATAAAAAAGTAATTAACACAACTGCCCTAACAACTTTAGTACTTGATAATGAGGAGATACAATAAGACGAAAAGACAAACAAACTGGTTATCATACGCAACAAAAAACTCACTTGGGGCGACCATATAAACCAAGCTTTTGGAAAAACAAATGATTCTCTAAGGTCGCTTTAACACACGCAATTATATTTAAAAGACGTTTTTGACATTGAAATTATTCTACGGGTAATACGGTCAGATATGTGTTTAATGTAAGACGTAGAGATCAGATATCTCGGTTATCATACAAGATATTTGAATTTGATCCTTAATCAAGGATCTGATTCAGGGCATTATTGGCATTTAATAAAAAGAATCTGAATACCTTCACAAAAAATTGTAGTTTATCACTTCTAGACGAACAAATAATATTATGTGCACGAGACACAGAAGAGCTTTTTCTGAAAAACAATTTTCATTTTTGTAATTCGATAATGGAACGAACTTCCCAATTGCTTAAGAATAAGAATAATAAGAACGTAAATAGTACTAAAGTAAAATAAATGGCGCACAAGGCTCCTAAACGCAGTAATGCCATTATACACTGCCCCAAGACCAGGTAGGGTTCCAATCACAACAACAGCTTATGTACCAGATGCAAACAGCGAAAAACAAAACACTTTAAAAATGCCAAATGGCAAAGAAACAGGCCTAACGATTTTTATGACATTCATGCAGACAACTATGTCGGAGCTTATGAGGAATCAAAATCACCTGATCCAAATACTTACAAACCAGTTTAATAAATAATGTCCTGTCTATGAATTTGCTTTTGGAATTCAAACACCAGATGAAAATTAACAACATGTTAATCTCAGAAACGTATTAAGAAATTTCTACTCTAAAAATTATATATTTTATGGCGCAGAACAACCAGTTGGTTAATCTATAATGGTACTGGTAAGTTGGTAAGAATAGTAGAAAAAACAATCTTCTCCTAGCGTACTACCTATATAGTTGGTAAATCCAATAAAGTATTAAAATTGACTTTTTCTCGATTACTGGCTTATTGACCCGAATAAATAAACAGATATAATTGACTTCGCCATCGTTAATCTCATTGATGCCGAAAGTCGATCTGACTTATTATATAACCATCTCCTTGATCGATCTCAGTTATCCAAAAACACACAGTTTTAAACAACGAATAGAACGAATTGGCTAAAAAACAAAAATTATATGAGTTCACACATCAACCTAGAATCATCAACAGCACTAAGGCCATAGATGACGCAGTACAAAAGCACTACTTGTATCTATTGCAAGTAACGCAACACCGAAAAGTGCAATTTCAGCTCAAAGAAATCACATCAACAATTATATTGAGCAATAAGTCAGGAAAAATGCAGTAGGTAAGCATCTCACGAAAAACAAGGAGCTGCAACACGCAAGCTTTCTGGAATATTGAGACAAGAAAAACTAAAATTCAAAAATTATCACTTACGAACATCAAATTTCCGCTCTGGAAAGCTCATCTTAATTTAAGCCCGCCGATTTCAGCTGAAGCTGCTGGGAGACTGAGATAGATCTTGGGCTAACAGCGATGCAGAAGTAGTACATTTTTTCGCAAAACACATTTTGAACGTTTTTAAACCAAGTGGAGCTGCAGACACTGCACAGTACCTACACTAAAACAAGGCGAGCACACCCCACCTCATTCCGTAATAATGAAATCTCCAAGGTCACCAAGGAACATCTGAAGCCAAAAAAATCTCCTGGGCTTGACAGAATCCCATTCAATGTGATAACAACTGCCAGATTTTAATGCCATATCGAAATTGTGTCACTTTCCACAACAATGGAAAAAATGTATTATAATTATGATTCCAAAGCCAGGACAAGACCGATCATACAAGTCCATTAGGCTCCTCTTATGCCTATCTAAAAAAAAGGGAATTATTTAACGTGTTATGCCACATTTCAACCCATTCCGGATCATTAATTTGGATTTAGAGAATAGCATTGAACAAGTCAATATAATTGCTTTTGAACAAAGGGAGAATTGATGAGTTTGGCATCGCGGCATGATTACCTTTATACGGAAAATATACCCACGATCCAGCGACAAAAGACATTCACGTTCGCCGACGACACAGCTATTTTAGACACAGCTCATATGTCCACTTCTGGCTTCACAATTAATATCCCCTACCCCAATTGGAAAAATAGTTTATGATTGGCGCATAAAAGTGAACGAGCAAAAAAGCAAGCACATTACCTTTAAGTTTAACAAAAAAAATTGTTCACAATTATCACTCAATAACGTATTTATACCACCTACTAAGGTTAGAGTACAAAGTTATGCTCTACAAAACTGTTATAAATCCGGTCTGGCTGTGAGCTATGGGGCAATGCCAACAATATAGAGCTGAGCCAAAAAGCACAGTCAAAAGTGAAATAAAAACTATAACCGCAGCGCCCTGGAACATCCGCACATAGGCATCCACAGAGACCTAATTATCCCGTTAGTAAAAGAAGAAATTGCCCAACTACAAGCCAAATACATCTTCGATTTATCAACGCACTCAAACCAGCTAGCACGCACAAGAACCCAAATCCGCCTAAGAAGAAATGACTTACCAGCACGGTAACTCATGAGGCCACTCTTAAGCCAAGAGGGCATCAAGTACATTTTTAGATTTAAGGGGGTAAGTGGCCGAAGACGTTTAAAACAAGGAAGGAAGCAAACTTCGGCAAGCCGAAGTTCATATACCCTTGCAGCTATTTCAAAAACTAAATACTCTTGAAAACGTTAAAATTATGATTTACTTGCGTGTATGTTTAAAAACATTGAAGATATGATGACTTGCAGCTGAATAATTCGATAGCTCCTATGGCAGCTATACGATTGTTCCTATGGGAGCTATATGCTATAGTCGTCCGATTTTGATGAAATTTAAACCGTAACTCTGAAATATTTAACCATTACTATATCTCGAAAAACTAAAAAAAAATTAAAAAACACCAAAGCTAACATTTTTTTTTATATTATTTTTATGATTGTTCCTATGGGAGCTATATGCTATAGTCGTCCGATTTTGATGAAATTTAAACCGTAATTCTGAAATATTCAACCATTACTATATCTCGAAGAACTAAAATATAAATTAAATAACACCAAA